ACTCGTTTTTACGATCCCCCCCAATGTGCCGAATATCGTGACCGTACGTCGAGCGGTTAAGATTTGTGCCCAACTGTTGACGGACGGACGACCGGACGGACGGACGGACGGACGGACGGACGATCAAGCGATTCTACAAGCTGCATCTGACTATGTCAGATGAGCTAATAATAATATAATAACAATAGTATAAATCATAATATGTTCATAGAAGGAATTTTGCATTAAAGATATTGTCAATGAAATCTTGTAAAACGAACCAGACGAGTGTGACACCACACTGTTTGTTATCTGCGTGTCTATATAAAATGCTATATAATTGCCAAAACCCTACTTAATTTGCATTTTTTTTTAAATCTCAAAACCCCTAGCCCTTATTCATTCACTTACCAAAAATGAGCAAAATCCGTTGAACCTGAACTGACTAATGGCAATTCCCATTTTTGCCAAAATATTAAATATGGGAGCATAGCAGTAACAACTATACCCAATTTCAAACATGTGGGTCCAACGGTTCCTGAGTTATCGTTGACCGTAGCCAAATGTTGACGGACGGACAGACGGACGTATGACGTACGACGACCCATGGCAATAGCTCAGCTTGACGATGTCAAGGTGAGCTAAAAAGAGAGATAGTGATAGAGAAAGAGGAAGGGAGGGAGAGACAGAGAAGAGAGAGGGGGTTGCCACTTACAGTTACCTATGCGCATGTCTCTGATAGTTATGTTTTAGTGCATTTGTCCCCTAGTACATGAAGCCCGTTTACTTACTTTGGATCGGTGATTCGTATTATTTCTCTAGCCAGTCGTCCGATGAAGTTTATCGATCCGTCTAAAGGGGGAAACGTAGGGATGGGAATGGCTGTCGATTGATACATGCTCTGCCAGTCATGTACCTATACAGAAATATTTTGACAAATTAAAGGTAATTATATTACGTATATTATTACAATTAATTAGATAAATTAATATAATGGATTAGACCAAAATGAAATCTTTTTGTGTAAGCATCTGTTGTGGTATTTATGTGAATCATTATACGATATTAATATCAGTTATTGTGGTTTGATATCCTATGAGAAGTGTTTAAAATATTATGTATGAACACTAGGTAATCAGAAATCCTACTAGATACAATAACAAAGAAATGAAGTAACACTATAGCATTTAAAACTAAATTGGTATCATGTAACATTTTGGTTGTGTGGGGTTAAGTTAAGTTTAAGAAAATTAGAGTGAAATAAAGCACAGAATGTGCCTGTTATACACACTGCAAGTTTATACAACCTATACACTGAAAGCGCCACAACCACAACCCAAATCTCGTTTCTTTATAAAATGACATTCGATTCCAGCCTTCAGTAAAGAGCCAGACTGCGTGTAATATCGACATTACCTTGGTTCTCAGAAAGCTGTTGCATTCCTGTTCGACATTGTAGTTTACTATCCTAGACATCTCCTCTTGCCAGATCTTAAGACCATAGATGTTGACGTAGTCTTGGATGTACTCAAATGATCGCCTGAACCCGTCCATGTGGGCCGCTAGCACTTCCAGCTTAGGAATAAGCTCGCTCGACTTAAACAGAAAAATTCAATGCCGTTACGGCGCAGTTCGTGTAGAGACGATTACCGTCACGATCCCATTGCAAATCTAGATTTTCATTATCAAACGCAGCCTGTCACATACGTGGTCGTCTTGATACAAAATATCGCAATTCTAATACAATTCATCGCACGAGATCCGACTACACATCAACGCGTCACACACTGCATGTGCGCTGACATGTATTTTTTAAAGCAAATTGCACGATGCCTACTAATCAGTATTAGACGGTCACTTGACAACCTCACAAATTCTATACGCATACCTTTGCTTTCGGATTGAAGACCAGACTCTTGTGCAGAGCCATTGCAACTTGAGTAACAAGCTCCTTCCTAATGCCATCCTCTAACAGTTGCTTAGGATCAATCTGTATGCATGCAACAACACAAACTTGAATTCACACCACATTCTAGAGGTGTGCACCTTCCTGATGGTGTTGACTGAGTAAAGCACCACTTATAATTTCTACCTATGCTGGCAGACAAATAAATATACTCACGCTATTAAATAACATCTACAGAACTGCTCAAATAATATCTAACTTTATATTCTACTAATCCCATTCTAATTTCAGGTTTTTGCCTGATATTAATCAAAATTTACCTTAATTATGCCGACTAAGGTTGTCTTCATCATCAATATACCCTCTGTGAATACTGAGATGTCATGTGTCAGTTTGGCCACCTGGTAAACAATAAACAAATATAAAATCAATTAATATATATTAGCACTCTGGTTAGCACTGCCCCAAAGATTCCCCCAAGCATCTCCTTTAAGCCTGATAAAGACAGTGAGATTGGCTAGCGAAATTGTTGCGAACTGGCTAATTATATACATTTTCACATATACATACACAATCAATTTAATATACTCCAATTTATCATAGAAGAAAACGCTTAACAATCTTTCATCATATAGTTACCTGTGATCACTACAGTACCACATGTACCTATCATCACATAGTCACCTGTGATTATGCTACACTCACCTGGTACTTATCACCACACGTTCACATATAATTACTACACGCTCACCTGGTACCTGTCGTCGAGCTGCGCGTACTCTCTCAGCTTCTCCTTGTCTAGCCGCGTCGGCAGCTCGCGCATCTGGCTCGTCTGCAGAGCGATGATGCGGCTGAGCAGCGCGAACATCGTTCGCGGGATCACCTGCAGCACGTCGCGAACGTAGGCGACGAGCTCGCGCGAGTAGTACTGCGACACGCTGACGAGGTCGGGGCTCGCCGCCTGACTGATGCGCACGAGTGGCAGGTCCAGCGCAGACGCCAGCTGTAGGGATGAAAGCTTGTTATTAATGCTATATCATGAGGTATAGGGCTTGCCGCCCGACTGATGCGCACGAGTGGCAGGTCCAGCGCAGACGCCAGCTGTAGGGATGAAAGCTTGTTATTAATGCTATATCATGAGGTATAGGGCTTGCCGCCCGACTGATGCGCACGAGTGGCAGGTCCAGCGCAGACGCCAGCTGTAGGGATGAAAGCTTGTTATTAATGCCTATTATTATGGAGGCCAGCTGTAGGGATGAGAATGCTTGTTATTAATGCTATATCATGGAGGCCAGCTGTAGGATGAATGACTTGTTATTAATGCTATATTCATGAGGCAGCTGTAGGGATGAAAGCTTGTTATTAATGCTATATCATGATGCCAGCTGTAGGGATGAATGCTTGTTATTAATGCTATATCATGAGGCCAGCTGTAGGGATGAAAGCTTGTTATTAATGCTATATCATGAGGCCAGCTGTAGGGATGAAAGCTTGTTATTAATGCTATATCATGATGCCAGCTGTAGGGATGAAAGCTTGTTATTAATGCTATATCATGAGGCCAGCTGTAGGGATGAAAGCTTGTATAATGCTATATCATGATGCCAGCTGTAGGGATGAAAGCTTGTTATTAATGCTATATCATGATGCCAGCTGTAGGAATGAAAGCTTGCTATTAATGCTATATCATGAGGGCAGCTGTAGGGATGAAAGCTTGTTATTAATGCTATATCATGAGGCCAGCTGTAGGGACGAATGCTTGTTATTAATGCTATATCATGACGCCAGCTGTAGGGATGAAAGCTTGTTATTAATGCTATATCATGAGGCCAGCTGTAAGGATGAAAGCTTGTTATTAATGCTATATCATGAGGCCAGCTGTAGGGATGAAAGCTTGTTATTAATGCTATATCATGACGCCAGCTGTAGGGACGAAAGCTTGTTATTAGTGCTATATCATGAAGCCAGCTGTAGGGATGAATGCTTGTTATTAATGCTATTCATGAGGCCAGCTGTAGGGATGAAAGCTTGTTATTAATGCTATATCATGATGCCAGCTGTAGGGATGAAAGCTTGTTATTAATGCTATATCATGACGCCAGCTGTAGGGAGGAAAGCTTGTTATTAATGCTATATCATGAGGCCAGCTTAGGGATGAAGCTTGTTATTAATGCTATATCATGAGGCCAGCTGTAGGGATGAAAGCTTGTTATTAATGCTATATCATGACGCCAGCTGTAGGGATGAAAGCTTGTTATTAATGCTATATCATGATGCCAGCTGTAGAGATGAAAGCTTGTTATTAATGCTATATCATGAGGCCAGCTGTAGGATAAAGCTTGCTATTAATGCTATATCATGACGCCAGCTGTAGGGACGAAAGCTTGTTATTAGTGCTATATCATGAGGCCAGCTGTAGGGATGAATGCTTGTTATTAATGCTATATCATGAGGCCAGCTGTAGGGATGAAAGCTTGTTATTAATGCTATATCATGATGCCAGCTGTAGGGATGAAAGCTTGTTATTAATGCTATATCATGAAGCCAGCTGTAGGGATGAATGCTTGTTATTAATGCTATATCATGAGGCCAGCTGTAGGCATGAAAGCTTGTTATTAATGCTATATCATGAGGCCAGCTGTAGGGATGAAAGCTTGTTATTAATGCTATATCATGAGGCAGCTGTAGGGATGAAAGCTTGTTATTAATGCATATATCATGACGCCAGCTGTAGGGATGAAAGCTTGTTATTAATGCCTATATCATGAGGCCAGCTGTAGGGATGAAAGCTTGTTATTAGTGCTATATCATGACCAGCTGTAGGGATGAAAGCTTGTTATTAATGCTATATCATGACGCCAGCTGTAGGGATGAAAGCTTGTTATTAATGCTATATCATGAGGTATAGGGCTTGCCGCCCGACTGATGCGCACGATGCTGCATCCTATAGTAAATCACGGTTAATCTAGTGATAAACCACTAGAGATTAGTACAGAGGCAATTTTCTATTAGGCTAACCTTTAAGAATGTTGCCTTGAGCTTGATCACCAGTGACGGATCATTCTTTATACCTTGTTGCATATAGTCAGTGTAACTGAAAGCAGAAATAAGCACATGCACATGGAAATGACTTAGCAATTATCTAGTATAAATATATAAGTGTTTCCATGCTGCACATAATTCTATATGTATTATATATAACTGGCCTACACACATGAATTACCAATATCACGAGCATATCTATAAAACTTATAATTGTTACTACAATGCGTAAGAATTTGAATAGAAATGTTATAATATATTTATATAGAATATCTAATTCTTGTGAATTACACATAACGTAGAAATATACACAATCGTAATGACATTTTCACATGCCGAAATCCATAACGACAGCATTTAACAAACAAACACTATCGATACTATAGGGACACAGGTGTATTTTTCGCGGGTGTTGTTCACAGATACCTGTCGATAATTTCCCAGGCGTATGATATGTCCGCGACAATCTGCATGGTGATGAGAACCTCTTCCTTGATGTTGATCGTTCGGATCATCTGGTGAAGAAACTGGCGGGTGTCCGTGAGGAACTGTTTCACCTGCATTATGCTCTCCAGCTGGTGAAACTCTTGCACCTACACAGACGCAAACACAAACACAACACGATGAGATATCGGAAACACAGCCTTTCACCTAAAATAACCTGAAATTCGGGGCACAGTAAATCGATGACTTACGAAAACCATACAATATATAAAACGACAGGTTGCATAATAACTTGCAGTTAATGTCACTATTAACATGATAAGAAAAACTGAGAGCAGACTACCTGGCAGTTTTTGAAAATCAGGGCAACATTAGACAGCAGCGGTGTAAATTTTAATACAAGGTAATTGCAAATAAAGAGGCTACAATTTGACTGCGATTATTATCGCTACAATCGAATAATTCGCTACAACATTACTAATCGAAGACAATTACACTATCACTAATCTTGAGACAAATAACGACATTTTTATAAAGAAATTAACATGTATGGAACTTTCAGTAGCAAAAGTGCAAATACGACATGCACACGGTGAACTAATAATTATTGAATGTATTAGTAAATAATAATGAAAATATGTTAATTAACATAGGTCAACACCTCTTCCAATGCCTGTATAAGCTGCACAATCTTCCTGCCTGCAGATGTAGAGTCATCATAGTTCAGTGATCCGATCTGCTTTGCCATTTCTGTGAACCAGGCCTGTAGGCTGTCTGAAGTGTAAGCAATGAAATCATGCTATCACGTCACCCACAGACGAGCTGTGACAACGTGTACTGCATGCTGAAACATGCCGATGAAAAAGATTTGTTTTGGATTGTGTTACGATTTCACGCATAAAATGGAATGTTTAGATTTCTCATATTAAATAGATTGTTTTGATTTCACATAAAATGGAGTGTTTTGGTTTCACATATAATAATATGGAGTGTTCTTATTTCACGTATGAAAACAGAGTTGAGATAACTTGGTTAAAAACTCACCATTTTTCTCGACCCTGGTGAGGGGTTTTGCTCCAGAGAACACTTCCGTTAGTTCAGTCATGCGTTCAGTGCTCTCTTTCTTATACAGTTCCCACTTGTCTTGTTTTGTAGCTAACATCTGCTTGAACATCTGTAACCAGTGTACGATTCATTTGCAATTACAGTTCAGTGGAAAATGGCATCCTGAGCGTCAACTAGACTGTTCGCACATCCTTGAGTGAAAATACCACTGCTGTGAGACTGGTAAGGTTCAGGTAAGTTTGCTATATTATTATGTTATGTCATTAAGGGAATTCACAAAAATTTATAAAGAGCTGTCAGTTCCATAGAGGCGGTTTCACTATATAAATGCCGCTAAAAGAGAATGCCAAAAGCATGATGCAGGTACTGAAAATGTTGCAAATATTGCCAGAAGATGGAGTGATGATCACCTCTTTCAGTTTCAGCTCAAAGTGGGCCGTGAGCATGAGCAACTGGAACAGCGTCAGTGCCTCACACTTGCTATCAGTCATCACCTGCTCTCTCACCTGTCGACATCTCTTGTTGGCCTCAGCAGCTGCTCGAGAAACACACAGCAGAAATAACAACCACTTCTTAGTCGGAATCACTTATCCTCATGCGTAAACAGAGTGTGCGTGCGTTAAGGAAAGCCAACATCGTGCCGGGACATCGTTGCGTGTTGTAGGATTAGTCACGTGCAATCGCAGCCACAAGATTTATGAGCGGTGATGCATAAACTTCAAATGCTTGAATTGAATGCATCAACATGTGTGCTCATTCTGATTTAGTTGTTTAATGGCTTGAGAAGAGAAAGCTAATAGAGTATCTTTTATTATGTTATCAGCTTTCAGATATTTAAGATAATATATATATATATATTATTAAATAGGTTATTTAATAATTTATCATATAATTGATCTCACTCATTATAATATTAACAGCACTTATACTCTAATATATTCCACTTTCATCAGATTATTTTGCAAAGCAAAACCAAGACATGAATCCTATAATTGCACAGGATGTACCAAGCATCTGGTCAACCAACCAAACGACCGACCGACCGACCGACCGACCGACCGACCGACCGACCGACCGACCGACCGACCGACCGGGCAGATAGGTGGGCGGGCATGTGGACCCACCGTTCTGCAGAGCGTGTGTGTGGCCGAGAAACCAGGCGAACGAGTGGCCGCCCGACCGACTGGGCGGGCATGTAGACTCACCGTTCTGCACAGCGTGTGTGTGGCCGATCGACCAGGTGATCGAGTGGCCGACGACCGACCGGCGGGCATGTGGACTCACCGTTCTGCACAGCGTGTGTGTGGCGATCGACCAGGTGATCGAGTGGCCGCCCGACGACGCGGGCGGGCATGTGGACTCACCGTTCTGCACAGCGTGTGTGTGGCCGATCGACAGGTGATCGAGTGGCGCGACCGACCGGGCGGGCATGTGGACTCACGTTCTGCGGAGCGTGTGTGTGGCCGATCGACCAGGTGATCGATGTGCCGACCGACCGACCGGGCGGGCATGTGGACTCACCGTTCTGCGGAGCGTGTGTGTGCAGCATCATCCAGCGCAGCACGACGTTGCACTCGCGTATCGTGTTCATCAGCTTCGGGATGCGGTCGAGAACGAGCTCCTCGGTGAGAGCGCCCTCCTTCAGGCACTGCTGAACTATCGGGATGAGTTGCCTCATCTTACGCGCGTGCCGCGTCGCCTGCAACGAAATCACTCCTCGCTGAGTCAAAACTGTGTGTTAGGGTCACACAAGGGAACAGGCAAATGGCCCTTATCGACAGGTATCCATATTCTAATGGTGGTGTTGCTGCATAACTGCTACACCGTACACAAGAGAAATATCGATGTGTTTTATAGACAGGTGTTTTATTAAATGAAAAATGTGACAAAATGTAAATCTTTTAATGTGATCTTTCTTTAAAACAGAGCTTAATGATACAACAGATATTTTATATTTATTATTATTATAAAACATTTATTATTCCATTTTTATTTCTAGAAAAGTATTCCTGATAGGGTAACATGTCTGTCTTTTAATAACGTTGATGCTCACCAGTTCTTTCACATTGGCAGGGTCCAGGGTGTTACTTAATGCAGTCTTAGCAGCTTTGTATTGGTCCCAAGCTTCAACAAGATTCACTGTGATACCCATATATACACTGATGACCTATAATAAATTTAGAATAAGTGTTACAATAAACCTCCATATTATTGAAATTACAACAAGTTTACTTGCGTTTATTGGGGACAGCAGCATCAGCACAGATACACTATGTATAGACATGTTTTTATTGCTAATGACAACTGCAGTCTAAGAGAGGTCATGCATAGAAATGATTATACAACTTGGAGAAACATCATTATTGAAAACATTCCAAACTGCATCCTCAAAACCACAAACACAATTCCTACAGTGTAGCCAATTTATCGGAAATAATTATAACCATTTTCAATCAGCCATCTGTCATGTTTCATGCTCACAATCAAAAATCGTTCAAAGTTCGGACACGTGCACACTATGTACTGCCTTTCAAATTAATCATAAGCTAGCAGCCTAACAGCACAAGTTTTACAAAACTCTCCTTCCAGCAGCACCGCCACAGACTCACGAAGAGCCGTGACCGCCGGCCTGGAAGACAACCGATTTACCGGGCAAACAATTTACTCTGATAAGCTGCTCCAGTAACCCCCACAAGCTCCAGTCTACATGCCAGTCTAGCTCCGTACGGGTGCCAGTGTACCCGCACTTCCAACACACGCCAGTGTCACCCAACAAGTTACAGTCTACATGCCAGTCTAGCTCCGTACGTGTGCCAGTGTCCCTGCGCCTACAACATGTGCCAGTGTCACCCAACAAGTTACAGTCTACATGCCAGTCTAGCACCGTACGTGCACCAGTGTCCCCGTGCTTCCGACGCGCGCCACGGAGATCGGACGTACCCAGTTGTCGGGGAAGTACTTGTCGACTATCTCGCGCATCTTCGCCTGCTGCTGGTGGAGGATCGTCGGCGCAAAGTAGAGGATGATGTAGAGCATGGCTGCCTGCGTGGCGAGGGCCGTGCTGCGGTGCTCGGGGAACGGGTATGCGGCCACCTGGTTGTAGACGTCGTCCGAGCGCAGGTGACCGATCGCCATGTTCACAAACACCTGGTTGATGGGTATGCGCCTAGCGGGACAGTACAGATCGGGTGTCATTACGAACACATCTATACACAATATGATATCTGTCTGTCTGTCTGCTTCTTTACATATATATATATAATATCATGGTATCATTTATCAGTAGACATATTGCTAATATTTAAAGTAATTACGATATTTAAGTGTTTTACGATGAACCCAAGTAATTGAACTGTAAGCAAAAGTTTCGCTAGCTGGCCCAGATGTCTTTGTCAAGCTAAAATAAAGCTGTGTGCACTTGCAACTAGATGGCAGTACGTGACGAGAGTCACTACTAACACAAGCCAGTCCATTTTTGCATTTTCTTTTTTTCTGCATCTGTCTTTATTTTATTCTGGCATTGTCGTCCGTACGATATAAGTAGCTAACCCGCTCACCATAGGAACGTGAAGTTGATATGAAAACCTTCAACATATTAAATATTTACCCAAAGTATTCCTCTGGGTAGTTAGGTGGTCTCTTGGCACCGGGACTGCTCGAGTACCCTGTACTTCGCAGCAGCTTACAAACATCATCAACATTTGATTCGCCTGTAGACCTGGCGGCACTGTGTTGGCGATAAAACAAAAAAGATATGAACATGACGAAACGACTTAATTAATACTCGTTTTTACAAATTGATACCGTGATTGACAGAAGAATTCCTCGAAATACCCATTATCCAGTAAAAGGAGTCCAAGTTTAGTTGCACATTCTACAACACCAATTTCTATGCTTTTGATATTATGACGTGCATAGTAGCACAATAATATCAATACAATACGGCTAGATATATGTGCATAGATATGTTATAGATATACTCGTGGTAATAACTATATGTCAATCAGTACCTGTATCTGTAGTAGGACACGAGCAGTCTCTCTCTGATTGTTCCCTCTATCCGCATGTCAATCACAAGCAGCATGACCCCATATAAGTACATAGCCTCACACTGCGACAAAACAAACGACAACTTACCTGACTGATCATCTAATGCGAATTCATTTTTACCAAGAGCTAATAAAACCCATGTTAATAGCTCTTGCTTTTTTTATTATGAGCATATATATATATAGTATACATATGTTCGTGGTTTTTACTAACAAGAGCCGCAGAGCGTCTGGGCTCATCTGAGGTTTGTTGCTACGGTTATAAACGTAACATTTAAGTCGTGCGTAGTGACACGTTTGTTAGGTGCAGATATGCAGATACGCAGTTGCGTACACATCATTTCAGCAACCTTCTGCAATCTGCATACCTCCCAACTCCCATTGGTTGATACAAATCGCGTGCCTGAAACTCCTGTTTTATGGAGCATTGTGACCCTAACCCTAACCCTATTAAAAAAAATAAAATTAATTGTTCTAAAAATTATTTGTTGTTTTTAAATTGTTGTAAATAAATCATGTAAATATTCGCGTTAATTGGAAAAAAATTGTTAAATGGATAAAGATAGAAAAATACAGAAAACAGGTAAATAATAAAAAATCTGATGGGAATCGATCAAACGACCTTAGAGCAGTGACGCCTGTGCTGTACCCGTTCGGCTATCCAGGCTTATTGGCTTTCTAGATTATGGATGTGCCATGAATATGAGAACACTGTGACGTCATTGAGGCAGTTAAGGAATCCATGTTTAACCCTCCTCTTGAGGGTCAAAAGGTTATCAGACACTCACTCTTCGCACGTCAGTGAAAAGCACATTTCATGGTCCTTTCAATAAAGTGATAAAAATGGTAGGTCAGTCCTGAAACAAAAAAGTTTTTCACGCTGTCCATTAGGCCATGTCCTCAGAAAATGTCTGATATCGGACCTTTCCCCCACTGCCCTTTGACCTCCAATTTCGCACTGGTGATGGGTTTCCTGCCCATCACACTATACATCGAATATTAAGAGCATAGGTCGAGCCGTTAAGATTTGTGCCGCAATTCCGTATTTCCTCCTATACCTTAAGTTAAGGGGAAAATATTCCCCCTCCGTTTACACATCTTGACCTTTGACCCTTGACCCCCAAATTTGTCATCCCGAGTCCTTTTCACGATCCCCCCCCGACGTCCCGAATATCGTGACCGTACGTCGAGCGGTTAAGATTTGTGCCCAACTGTTGACGGACGGACGGACGGACGGAAGACGGATCATGCGATTCTACAAGCTGCATCTGACCATGTCAGATGAGCTAAAAACTAGTCAATCAATTTTAATGATGTGACTTCTGTGATCCATAGGAAATACTAAAGCAGCAATAGGAAACAATAAAGGAGGTATAACGAAAACAATGTTGTGCAAACAAGATAGAAGGATAAAATGTAAACTGAAAAAGTCGTTTGGAGTTCCTGTGCATTTCGCATACAGGATAACTATGAATGCATTTATGCACATATATGTATTCAACTATGTAAAACATACCATAAGTTGCTTGCCATCATTGTTTAGAAGCACAGTTTCTAATGTTTGCTGGATGTAAACACCTTCATCCAAGTCCTCTAAAAATCTATCAAACCAAAAAGTTTAAAATAAATACGCCTGCACGCTTTCCAACTTGCAAATAAAATAGGGTAATGTATTTGAGATTAGAAGATTCATTTTAATTATTTCTAATCACTAGATAATTTCCAGATACGTAGATGCGTATTTTGGGTGACAGCTACATTCTTCACTTAAACATTCACCATTCATAATCGGATCATTAGACATTGATGAATTGAGTACAAAAAGGTACTTAACTGTTAACATGAACTATACTTACAAGAAAATTCATTATGTGGTATACATCGCTCTCAGATAATATTACGAAAATATGTACAACGCTTTATGTTTGTTATATTATTAACTGAATTAAATTATAAAAGAAAACATAATGCAGCGACAACTGCTAATATACTAGTTACAATCATGTAAACCAACACAGAGTAGTGGTTAGTGGTTACCCTACCCTACACCTACCCGCACTCTACCATGTGTTGGGTTACCTTCTTGTATCAGCTAATATACCTGTTTAAGTCTGTCATGTACTTGTGAACACTTTCAAATGTTAAATAAAATCTTGTCAGAATCTCAATGTTGTTTTCTCGTAACTCTTCATCCAAATCTTGCAATTCCTATAGCAACACAAGTTAATTTCTTTAACACAGAAAATTTATCAACTGCATGCAGTACTGACAAATATATATATATATACATAACCGCGAGTAAAGTAATAAATAAATACAATAATATGTATTAATTTACTCTAATATGTTAGTACAACAAAATGTCCAAAAGGTCATTTATACTCCAACACATAATATTATAGACATAACTGATTCCATCCCCAGGCACCTTTCTATCCTCCCAAAGATATATTATATAGATAAATAATCACTTTATCTTACATGCACATTTTTTTCTTTCAAAATGCACAATGGTAATGCTACAATATGGGCAGTATGTAGGATCCATACGCACACTACTTAAGTTTCGAAGCAAATTAATAATTACTCGTTGTGTGCATGTATGTGCATATGTGCGTGCGTTCGTGCGTATCTGTGTGTGTGTGTGTGTGTGCGTGTGTGTACAAAAGCTTATAGTTTTGTTATCAGCTGGTAAACTTGTAGACCCATTTAAATAGCTGTAAGTTGAGATGTTCTGAACCTCTAGCTATTAAAAAGAAGCTGCATCTGTTCACTTTGATACTGGATAACTAGATTACTCGATGAATAAAATTAGAATATGTACCAATAACTAAGAAGTGAACGATTGTAACATTGTGCATACTGGTTTCGAATCTATCCTACAGTCATATTCGTCCGGCTCTTTAAAGTAGATGAAATCACAGATTATTTCGCCATATTTCTGCTGGTCATTCTTGGTTTCAAGCTTGAACACTGGTGGAATGAAGTCGGACAGTCGCAACAGCTCTGCAATGATTGCGTTACCACGGGCAACGATACGTAAAATCGTCTGCCCACAGTTGTTGTTTTCTGCTAGGAAGTCTACCATGATCGAACACCTAAATAGAAAGAAAACCAGTGTAAAAACCTAGCTGAAACATTATAAATTAAAGTAATTCACTTGGTTACTGAAACTAGGGGGGTCCGGGGGCGTGTTTTTTTACCGTACCACTAATTAATGCGTAAAATCGCCACCACACCATAGACGGTATTTGGGGTTCTTGTATATATAAGATAGCCGAGTCGGTGTACAGTTAGTACAGTCGGTACAGGTTAACTGTTTGTACTTGTGTATGGTCTGCAGTGCATGCGTGGCACGGTAAAAATACACGCGTCGGTGGTCCTGGTCGAATGGGAATTCTTGACGATCGATTCCCGCACTGTCAAACTTTTATTGTGGTGGAATTTAATTGGGGCGGAGGTATTTCAAACGGGGCGCAACGATTGAAACAGGGGGGAGTTTTCCCAAACGTTACGGGGCGCGGGCGCCCCTTTTGCGCAACGTAGGGAGAACCCTGCCTTCTCACTTAACACTAAGTTGGCGTGTAACAGTCGTAGAGCCTGCATGGTTGGTTAATATTAGTCCGCAAATGCAGACATTATAACTCTGCTTTGCTAATCTGAGGGTGCGGGTTTATCTGACCCATTACTGGGGTCTGCGTCGGCTCGGACTAGGTTTATAGTGGTTTATATGTGATCATGCCAGGCTGAGGCACAGGTCCCTATATCCAACACGAACCCACAATGCGAGCACCGAAGGTGTGACCAGAATTCCTCGGTGCTCACACCTTCGGTGCTCGCATTGGGGCTCGTGTTGGATATAGGGACCTGTGACTATAGGCTGAGGCGCAAGGTACATCACTAGTAGTATTGCTCATAGGGTCTATGTCCCCCAGAGTACTGCCGGAACGTACCCTGGGTACGGTCCGGTATACCGGAACGTACCCTGGTCACTATTTGATATGGTTAGGGTTAGGGTTAGGATTCGGGTTCGGGTTAGGGAGTAGGCGTAGGAGACTACCTAGACTCGTTAGTCAACTTAGTGGAGTAGACGAGGTACGGTTCGGCATATTAGATAGTACCAAGGTACGTTCCGGCAGTACCCCGGGGGACATAGACCCTCTCAGCAGTAGTACTACTGCTACTACTACTACTAGTACTAGTAGTATAGTACTACTACTACTAGTAGTATAGATACAATAATGTAACCCAAACCCAAGAGGATAGGACCCCTATCCTCTTGGGTTTGGGTTACATTATTGTATCTAGTAGTAGTAGTACTAGTACTAGTAGTAGTACTAGTAGTAGTACTACTACTAGTAGTACACATGCATACATCATTATGATGATCATTACATGCCACTAATAATATAGTAATATTAATAATATTAATAGTGTTATATTACTAATGTTGTATTATACTATTAAACTGCCAATTTCCATACACACACTCCCTAACAAGTATGTTTTACTGGGGTCTGCATCGGCTCGGACTAGGTTTATAGTGGTTTATATGTGATCATGCCAGGCTGAGGCACAGGTCCCTATATCCAACACGAACCCACAATGCGAGCACCGAAGGTGTGACCAGAATTCCTCGGTGCTCACACCTTCGGTGCTCGCATTGGGGCTCGTGTTGGATATAGGGACCTGTGACTATAGGCTGAGGCGCAAGGTACATCACTAGTAGTATTGCTCATAGGGTCTATGTCCCCCAGAGTACTGCCGGAACGTACCCTGGGTACGGTCTGGTATACCGGAACGTACCCTGGTCACTATTTGATATGGTTAGGGTTAGGGTTAGGATTCGGGTTCGGGTTAGGGAGTAGGCGTAAGAGACTACCTAGACTCGTTAGTCAACTTAGTGGAGTAGACGAGGTACGGTTCGGCATATTAGATAGTACCAAGGTACGTTCCGGCAGTACCCCGGGGGACATAGACCCTCTCAGCAGTAGTACTACTACTACTACTACTACTAGTACTACTACTAGTAGTATAGTACTACTACTAGTAGTAGTATAGATACAATAATGTAACCCAAACCCAAGAGGATAGGACCCCTATCCTCTTGGGTTTGGGTTACATTATTGTATCTAGTAGTAGTAGTACTAGTACTAGTAGTAGTACTAGTAGTAGTACTACTACTAGTAGTACACATGCATACATCATTATGATGATCATTACATGCCACTAATAATATAGTAATATTAATAATATTAATAGTGTTATATTACTAATGTTGTATTATACTATTAAACTGCCAATTTCCATACACACACTCCCTAACAAGTATGTTTACAGTATTGTGGTTAATTTTAACGATAATGTAATGACTGAACGCTATATAATAACCTTGTTATTTTTCCAACACTGCTTGATATTTACCAAATGATATTTACGCCCACAGAACAGTACTGTGGCGAGCAGCCGTAAAGCGCCACCTCTCGTCGAATATATGAACTAAAATGACGTCTGTCCGATCATCGCTTCAGTAACCTCATATTATAACCTCAAAGATTAGTCTTTAGCGTGCAATAGACTGTATCGAATAGGCAGAGAGACTAAGTCAAAGGATTTGTGTCGATCTTTTAAATGTCGAAATAACCTGTGTTTGTAACTATAGGAGCGCGCCCAAGCCTGTAGGGTGCAAAACTCATCACTAAACTTCATCCCCTCCCGTCCTCCGCCTTGCCTCCTTTGTCCCTCGCTCCGTCTCCTTCTTCTTCTACCCCACCCCTCAGCTATCTTTCCTGCCGCCTGTCCTCAGTCTCCCACTCTTCTCTCTTCTTCAGCAAGCTATATTAATTTATACAGTTTCTTCAGTACGCACTGCACGCCTGAAACGGTGCTCGCGCATGCGCAATATCTCTCGAGAGGAATAATATTTTGCAACAATTATACATTTAAAATTAAGAGGAGTTATCCTAGCAGAGATTTATATGATAACATTCTACCAGTACCCCTCACTTAAGAAATAGGAAGAAGACCTGGCATGTACGGTTCCCTCTGCTTATGCCAGTCAGTACATAATCTGGCTACGTTATATAGTTTGTTAGAGCATGCGCAATATATCTCACCAGAGAAGTTATATTTCGTGATGAATATGCATTCAATATGGTTAGGAGCTATCTCAGCATAGGTTTATGTAATAAATTGTTATCAGTAGACCTGTGTTTATGATTAGGACAGCGCCCTAGCCTGTAGGTTGCAAAACTCTTACTTCACCCCCTCCCGGCCGCCCTCCTCCTTGCCTCCTTTGTCCCTCACACAGCCTCCTTCTTCTTCTACCCCCCTCAGCTATATTTTCTGCCGCCTGTCCTCAATCTCCCACTCCTCTCTCTTCCTCAGCAAGCTAAATTATACAGTGTTCTTCAGTCCGCACTGCACGCCTGAAACGGTGTTCGCGCATGCGCAATATCTTCCGAAAAGAATAATATTTTGCGGAAATTATGCATTTAAAATAAAGAGGAGTTATCCTAGCATACATTTATACGATAACATTCTACCAGTACGCCTTACTTAAGAAATAGGAAGAAGATATTGCATGTATGGTCCCCGCTGCATATGCCAGTCAGTACACAATCTGGTCACGTTATTGTGTTAGAGCATGCGCATTATCTCACCAGAGGAGTTATATTTCGTAATGAATATAAATTTAATATGGTTAGGGGATATCTCAGCATAGATATCTGTTATAAATTGTTATCAGTAGGCCTGTTTATATAATTAGGAGAGCGCCCTAGCCTGTAGGGTGCAAAACTCCTACTTTATCCCCTCCCGTACTCCCCTTGCCTCCTTTGTCCCTCGCTCAGCCTCCTTCTTCTTCTACCCCCCTCAGCTATCTTTCCTACCGCCTGTCCTCAGTCTCCCACTTCACTGTCTTCTTCAGCAAACTATATTATACAGTGTTCTTCAGTCCGCACTGCACGCCTTAAACGGTGCTCGAGCATGCGCAATATCTCCCGAGAAGAATAATATTTAGCGAAAATTATGCATTTAAAATAAAGAGGAGTTATCCTAGCATACATTTATACGATAACATTCTACCAGTACCCGTCACTTAAGAAATAGAAAGAAGACATTGCATGTAAGGTCCCCGGCCGCTGCATATGCCAGTCAGTACACAATCTGCCTACGTTAGTTTGTTGTAGCATGCGCAATATCTCACCAGAGGAGTTATATTTCGTTATTAATATGCATTTAATATGGTTATAGGGGCTATCTCAGCATAGGTTTATGTAATAAATTGTTACCAGTAGACCTGTGTTTATAATTAGGACAGCGCCCTAGCCTGTAGGGTGCAAAACTCCTACTTTATCCTATCCCGTCATCCTCTTTGCCTCCTTTGTCCTTTGCTCAGCCTCCTTCTTCTTCTACCTCTTGCTCAGCTATCTTTCCCGCCGCCTGTCCTCAGTCTCCCACTCCTCTGTTTTCTTCAGCAAGCTATAGTATGCAGTTTTCTTCAGTCCATACTGCACGCCTGAAGCGGTGCTCGCGCATGCGCAATATCTCTCGAGAGGATTAATATTTTGCGACAATTATGCATTTAAAATGAAGAGAGGCTATCCTAGCAGAGATTTACATGATAACATTCTACCAGCACCCCTCACCTAAGGCTAAGAGATGGGACGAGGACCCTGCATGTAAGGTACCCGTTGCATATGCCAGTCAGTACACAATCAGGCTATACATTAGTGTGTTAGCGCATACGCAAGATCTCACCATAGGAGTTATATTTCGTGATAAACATACATTTAATATGGTTAGGAACTTAGGGGGTATCTCAGCATAGATTTATGTAATGAATTGTTATCAGTAGACCTGTGTTTATAATTAGGACATTGCCCTAGCCTGTAAGGTGCAATATTCCTACTTCATCCTTTCCTGTCGTCCCCCTTGCCTCCTTTGTCCCTCACTCAGCCTCCTTCTTTTTCTACCCACTCAGCTATTTTTCCTGTCGCCTGTCCTCACTCTTCCACTCCGTTCTCTTCTTCAGCAAGCTATATTATGCAGTTTTCTTCAGTCCGTACTGCACGCCTGAAACGTGCTGGCGCAAGCGCAATATTTCCCGAGAAGAATATTATTTTGCGGAAATTATGCATTTAAAATAAAGAGTAGTTATCCTAGCAGAGATTTATATGATAACATTCTACCAGTACCCCCCACTTAAGAAATAGGAAGAAGACCTGGCATGTATGGTTTCCGCTGCTTATGCCAGTCAGTAGATAATCTGGCTACATTAGTTTGTTAGAGCATGCGCAATATCTCACCAGAGGAGTTATATTTCGTGATGAATATGCATTCAATATAGTTAGGGGCTATCTCAGCATAGGTTTATGTGTGTGAATGTTTATGTAATAAATTGTTATCAGTAGACCTGTGTTTAGAATTAGGACAGCGCCCTAGCCTGTAGGGTGCAAAACTCCTACTTCATCCTATCCCGTCCTCCCCCTTGCCTCCTTTGCCCCTCGCTCATCCTCCTTCTTCTACCCCCACCCCACCCCTCAGCTATCTTTCCTGCCGCCTGTCCTCAGTCTCTCACTCCTCTCTCTTCTTCAGCAAGCTATATTATACAGTTTTCTTCAGTCCGTACTGCACGCCTGAAACGGTGCTCACGCATGCGCAATATTTCCAGAGAAGAATAATATTTTGCAGAAATTATGCGTTTAAAATAAAGAGGAGTTATCCTAGCATACATTTATACGATATCATTTTACCAGTAAGCCTCACTTAAGAACTAGGAAGAAGACATTGCATGTAAGGTCCCCGCTGCACATGCCAGTCAGTACACAATCTGGTCACGTTATTGTGTTAGCGCATGCGCAATATCTCACCAGAGGAGTTATATTTCGTGATAAATATACATTTAATATGGTTAGGGGATATCTCAACATATATTTATGTAATAAATTGTTATCAGTAGACCTGTGTTTATAATTAGGAGAGCGCCCTAGCCTGTAGGGTGCGAAACTCCTACTAATTCATCCCCTCCCATACTCCCCTTGCCTCCTTTGTCCTTCGCTCAGCCCCCTTCTTCTTCTACCCCCCACCCCACTTCTCGGCTATCTTTCCTGCCGCCTGTCCCCAGTCTCCCACTCCTCTCTCTTCTTCAGCAAGCTATATTATACAGTTTTCTTCAGTCCGCACTGCACGCCTGAATCGGTGCTCGGGCATGCGCAATATCTCCCGAGAAGAAGAATATTTTGCGGAAATTATGTATTTAAAATAAAGAGGAGTTATCCTAGCATACATTTATACGATAAAATTCTACCAGTACCCCTCACTTAAGAAATAGGAAGAAGACATTGCATGTAAGGTATTGCATTTAATATGGTTATGTATTAAATTGTTATCAGTAGACCCGTGTTTATAATTAGGACACCGCCATAGCCTGCAGACTGCAAAACATCTACTTCAGGTTCTAGAATTTCCTATTCCTATTAGAAATTCCTATTGAACCATAGTAAAAGCACCAATGATTCTGCCCCTGGTGTGGCACGTATACTTGCTGCCCATAGCTAATTTCTAACCCTGTAGGCTGCACGAGCCATAAGCTAGCTGCTTTGTGAAAGAACGGCGTGAAGAAATATAAAGTGTTAAAATACAAATTAACATGGCCTTAATTGATATGTGAGTGATTTTACATAATAACAGGGGTAAGATAACGACAGATAGGTAAGATTTACACTTCGGGTCTAATCTTAGAAAAATGTTAGATCTGATATCGGGAAGCTAAAAAGCGGGATAGATTACGTACGCGAATAACACCGCGTACTGACGACAAAAATTGATATCCTACATTAATGAAACTTCTCTGTACCAGCTTCTTGCGAAATAAGAGTGTCAGATATAGTTTTTGCCGCCAGCGGAAGCTTTCGTCCTTGGCCGACTATGGCTATAATTACATGCTAGAACTTGCGCTGTACATTCACCACTAAAAGCCCATGTCATGTTCTCATATGTTTCGCTTTGTTTATTCGCCGAGAGAGCAGCGTATAAACTATCGCACACGCACGTGTACACTAGCTTCTTACACTGCTGAAAATAAATTTAGCGCGCATGCATATATACGCCAGCGGCTGAAAAAGCAAACCTCGTATGCGCGCGCGTGCACTGCCATTCACCCCAATCAAGCACGCATCGGAAAGGATGCCTGCATCTAAACGGAGATCTCGATCTCTCTTGACGATGAATTGTGATCGTAAAATATCGAATGACGAATGAAAGAAAGAAAGTGATCGTAACGTAGAACCAGAGCATATAAATCAACTATAATTTATATTTATATTTATATTTATATTTATATTTATAATAAATCATTTATATGCTCTGGTAGAACAAACTACACTTTAATAATAACGCAACGTACTGGATCAATTAATTCACTGACATTACAAGATGTGTCGTTGAGGCGTTAACAAAAACAATGGAACTGAGCCAGCGAGGTTACGACAAGTTCAGCGGGCAAGAAATAGAGCCGCGGTATTGGGAGAAGGCCAATTACCCATGACACGACATCGATTCGCGTATTGACCG